ATCTATCTATCTATCTATCTATCTATCTATCTATCTATCTATCTATCATCTATCTATCTATCTATCTATCTATCTATCTATCTATCTATCTATCTATCTATCTATCTATCATCTATCTATCTATCTATCATCTATCTATCTATCTATCTATCTATCTATCTATCTATCTATCTATCTATCTATCTATCTATCTATCTATCATCTATCTATCTTTTGTAAAGTTAAATATCTTAAAAATGGTATGATCCATATAAGCTGTATTTTTTCCAGTCAATAATTATACTTAACATCATTGAAACAATCCAAATACATTAATTTATGCCAGAAAAGCTAAGTTGTATGGGTTAAATCAGGTAAAAATAAACCTTTAAGGTAACAATTGCAGATGACCACTTTTCACAGTGTATTTTAAAGCACTCTGCACATACATTTTTCAATTTTACACATTATTATATACAATGGGGATAGTTCACCCAAAAATGAAAATTCTGTCATCATTTGCTCTAACCTGTACGAGTTTCTTGTTGAGCACAAACAGAACCAAACAGATGCTGGTAGCCATGCTGGTAGACTTGCATAGTATTTTTTCCCCCCATACTGTGTAAGTCAATGGCTACCGTCAACTGGTTGGTTGCCAACATTATGTGACAACATGCCCCAAGACTGTCAATATGCTTTTTTTTTGTAGCACATAAAAAAGTATTTGGCTATTGACTTTCAAAATAAATCCACCTTGAGAAATATTCAGTGTAAAAAGTGCAAGAGCTAGCCTCCCCTATATAGTATCATATTTACAACTTATTTTATTATAAAGTGCTTTCCACATACATATTATATGTGTATATTATATATTAATGTGTGAATTTATTGCATATAATATCTAAAATATATAGTGTATTCTGTACATTTTTATGCATTTGAAACACATTTTCATCAAAAGCAACTTGAGACATCATTAATCTATCTATCTTTTGTAAAGTTAAATATCTTAAAAATGGTATGATCCATATAAGCTGTATTTTTTCCAGTCAATAATTATACTTAACATCATTGAAACAATCCAAATACATTAATTTATGCCAGAAAAGCTAAGTTGTATGGGTTAAATCAGGTAAAAATAAACCTTTAAGGTAACAATTGCAGATGACCACTTTTCACAGTGTATTTTAAAGCACTCTGCACATACATTTTTCAATTTTACACATTATTATATACAATGGGGATAGTTCACCCAAAAATGAAAATTCTGTCATCATTTGCTCTAACCTGTACGAGTTTCTTGTTGAGCACAAACAGAACCAAACAGATGCTGGTAGCCATGCTGGTAGACTTGCATAGTATTTTCCCCCCCATACTGTGTAAGTCAATGGCTACCGTCAACTGGTTGGTTGCCAACATTATGTGACAACATGCCCCAAGATTGTCAATATGCTTTTTTTTTGTAGCACATAAAAAAGTATTTGGCTATTGACTTTCAAAATAAATCCACCTTGAGAAATATTCAGTGTAAAAAGTGCAAGAGCTAGCCTCCCCTA